AGGGGGCGTGGGGGGGAGGGTCAGGGACTGTAGGGCAGGAGGGGGTAGCCCAGAGGAAGGGGGGAAGGAAGCAGCAGTGGCGGAGGGGTGTCTGGGGGTCTGTGGGGCTGGCCAGCAGGAAGAGGGGGTGAGAAGCAGACCTGGATGCAGCCACGGGCCGCTTGCTGCCGCTTGCTCCTGTGCAAGGGCCCAGCTGATCACTGCTTTTACTTGAATTTTGCCATATATTTCATATTACTTCAGTTTCAGCTGATGATTCAGCACATGTTCATTTTAAGAACACTTTTGCTGCAAATTTGACAAAACAAAAATATGAAATCTGAGATTTCTCATCGATAGCCAAGCACTTTGATCCAAAGTTTAAGAATCTGAAGTGTCTTCCAAAATCTGAGAGGGAAGAGATGAGAAGCATGATTTCAGAAGTCTTCAAAGAGCATCCCTAGAAAGTAGATTACAAAACCTGAACTATCAAAACAGAAAAATCGAACTGCTGGTGACATCTGACTCAGATGATGAAAATGACCATGCTTTGGTTCACACTTCTTTGTATTGTTGTTGAGCAGAATGGTCATCAGCATGGACACATGTTCTCTGGAATGGTTGTTGAAGCCTGAAGGGTTATACAAATCTTATAGTGCATCTGGCATGTAAGATTTAACTATCTTATAATGGTAGCTGCAATGGTGCCATGCAGATACCTGTTCTGATGCTCAGATAACACTGTAAATAAGAAGCAGGCTGCATAATCTTTTACAAATGTAAACAAAATTGTTTGAATAAGAAATAGGACCGAGTGGACTTGTAGGCTCTATAAAGTTTTACTTTTTTTAACTCATTTATTGTACATAATTCAAAATCGTTAAGTTCAGTTTATGATAGAGATTGCACTAGAGTTCAGGGTGAATCTCCCAAATCTGGGACTCTTTGGTCTGGCAACTTCTGTGGTCCGGCAGGGCCATGGATGTGGCTGGACCAAAGAGCCCTGAAGGTGGGTGAGACAATGCAGGGGCAGGGAAGCCCCAGCTGGGATAGGCAACATCTGAGGACCTCCCCACAATGACTGGGGAACCCCTGGCATCAATGGGGCCAGGCAGCGGCCCTAGCCCCCGCAGGGGAAATTCTCTGCATCAGTGGAATCAGGTGGCAGATATGGAGCTCCTGGCATTAGCATGGCCAGGTGACTGGCGCAGTGGGAGAGGAGTCTTCTGGCTCCAGCCAGGGAACCCCTAGCTATAGTGGAACTGCTGAGCAGCCCTGGTCAGGAACCATAGGAAATCCTCTGCTGGGGAATCCCCTATCTGAAACAAGTCTGGTGGAGGTGGACTGCCCCAGCCAGGGATCCTACAGAGTCCCCCAGTGGCAGTGGGGTGGCCTTACAAGTGGCTTGGGGTGGCTGGGCAGCCATAGCTGAGATGGCAGCAGCCAGGAACCCCAGGAGACTTTGGGGCAGCGGGCAGGCAGCGGGGTGGGGAACTGTGGCAGGCCAGTGTTTGTGGGGCCAGCAGCAGGGCAGGGAACCCCAAGGAGAAGAGCCCAGGAGAGGGGCAGCCAGCAGGGGAGCACTGACCTCCCCTGGTGTGGCAAATTTCCTGGTTTGAGACAGCTTAGGTCTCAAGGATGCCAGACCAGGGAAGTCCAGCCTGTACTGTATCTGTATTAGGTCAACGGTTCCCAAACTTTTTGGCATCACGCCCCCTTTTTGATTTTTGAGAAACTCTCATGCCTCCACACCTCTTCTTTACCATCATCCAGTCCCCCTTTTAACAAAAAAAATTCAATTTGCAATTTAAAATTAAAAATAAACACACAAACTTGGTATAAAAAATTTATTTAAAATTAAAAAACAAGCACCAATAGTTTTTCTTGACACAGAAATTTAATAAAAATGTAATTTAATATAAATAGCAGAAACCAAACGAATTTAATGTGAAGGATGCTGCTGCATTTTCTTTACGAGTTGGGAAATCGAAGGTTTGAAAGATGAAAGTGCGCAATGCAAATTGTTTTCGACATCGAGTCAGTTTCTTTGTTTTGTTTTTAATGTGACTAAACTTGAAAAGCTTTTTTTCTCACAGAGATACGTTGACAAAAACAGAAGAATAATACGTAGCACTTCTCCATCTTTCGAGTAAATTGGAAAATATTTTATGCAAAATTCCTCCAAGCTTGAGTTTTTTAAATTCTTTCACACTCGAGTGAGTTGTATTTCATTTTGAGTGCTTGTTCTTGCAGTACTTCTGGCAATGAATTGACATCAACGTTGAACGTCCTGCTTACTAATTTATGAACGGGGTTGCTAAAAAAGTTGTCTGGAAAACATTGGATGAATTTGTCAGCCAGGTGGTCTAGATGAAACAGTTTTGTTCTTTGCATGTTCTTTATAAACTTCTTGGAAACCTTCATTTCCAGCAAGGGATGAAAATGTCAGAAAAGACGAAAAGTTAGGTGTCTGAGCTTGCGTTCAGTGTTTTCTAAGCTGGATTTTTTCCATAAACACTTTGATGGCATCGTGGTACGCTATAATGTTTGCAGCATTGTTTCCTTGCAGCTTCAAATTGAGGCTGTTCAAAGATTTAAAAATGTCCACAAGATATGCCCAAGTTGAAACGTTTGGTCCGTAAATGCGTGATATAGCTCTTCTTCTGTTGCTTGAGGAAAATTTTCACTTCATCTTTTAGTTGGAATAATCTCGAAAGCATGTTACCTTTGGAAAGCCATCATATCTCTGTGTGAAACAAGAGTTTTATGATCCGCTCCCAAATCTGTGGAAAGAGCAGCAAAAAGTCTCATATTTAAAGCTCTGTTCTTCACAAAATTGACAACTTTGGTAACCTACGTGACTCATTAAATTTGGCCATCTGGAAGGGAGTTAGCAGTCAACGCTTGTCTGTGTATGATGCAGTGAATTGTGGTTACGACTGGATTTTTTTTCTTTCACCAATGTCACAAATCCAGGAAGAGAGTCAAGCAACGCTGGACCGCTGTCTGTGCATACGCCAACCAGTTTTCCCCATGAAAGTCTATTTTCTTCAAAAAAGTCAGAAATTGTTTTCATAACATCAGAAGCCTTTGATGTGGTCATCAATTCCTTCGAAAAAAGCAGTTC